CATACCATTTGCATAGCCCAACCTCACGGAGCTACATGCCGCCATACAACCTAGGCAACCCACCATACACCTAACTTGTTACACATAGATACTTTTAATTATCGTTTCTATCACTTCTACTTAGTCAACCCAACATACACCCATACTGATATATTTTTTCTACTGAAAAAAAAAAGTTTGAAATGGCCGGGGATCGAACCGGGGACCTCATGCATACAATACATCGTCGCTATCGGCTAGACCATTGAGCCTTTTAAAAATATGTTGCAGAATACCTTATAAAAAAAAATATTTAGATTTAAGGATGGAAATTTATGTACGTGTTCAATATGTGTTTACCGTAGAGCGAATAATAAAAAATGATATTTAGCATTGATATCGAAAGGACATTAACATATTGTTGGTTCGAATTATGAAATAACTCCGAGTTTCCTAAAATTTAAATATGTAGTTCAGTGGATAAAATAAGCAATTCAATTAATTTGTACTAGGTATATTATTATAAATTGACTACCTAGTCTGGTAATATTTTATACATGGTAAATTGTTTTTGTGTTCTAAGTAAAGAAAATAAAATTTTATTGTTGCAATGTTTTCAAATGTCCCCATGTAAAAACATATTTTGATAATGTGTAGAATACGAGAAGCCGGAAATAAACCGCAGATAAGTAGGTATATCGCATGTAGGTACATTAGGTACCTATATGATCATTGCTGATAACACGGTAGTTCGCGAAAGAGTGAATTTGTTTTAATAAAATTAACTAGATAGGTATAACGTACCTACCTATGTTTCAATCTATAAATACAAGAAATTTAAAAATTGTTTCTTATTTTATAGATTTTGTGAATGTTCAACACTAAATACCTATAATTTTATTTAGCGGTTATAAAAGAAATATTTTTGTTTCGTAGGTTTCGCGAGTGGTAGTAAATGATAATTTTTTTCTATCGTAGTTTATGTGACTATACATCAGGTAAGCTGTAAATAAAAAATAATTATTTTCCTATCGAAAGTAGACTTTTCTTGCGCCTTGAAAGATAACTGCAAAGTTGATGTTTTCTACAAGCTGTCATAAGTTGATATTATTAAGCGTAAATAATTTTAGCGATAGTATAATTTTAAATTATCCAGAATTTTTCCTAAATAATTAAATTACAAATGATTGCCGACATATAAGTACTAAAATTAAATAGTATGTAAGTAACCTGAATACATAGGTAGGCAATACAGCATACTAACAACTTAGAAATCTAGTAGGTTGAAAGTAAGCAGTTAGGGTATTATGATTGAAATTTTGATAATTTAGTGTGCTCTACAATTAATTATTTATTTTTTATTTTGGTGTGATTGTAGAAAAAATCTTGAAGATAAAGAGAAAAAAGAGATAAAATAAAAAATAATTATTTTCCTAAACAATAACCTATTTTAAATACTGAAAGGGATATTTAATTTCTTACACCTTGAATTGAAATATAAAGTGTTCACCTATTCTATCGTTTTTGACCGTAATAAATTCCAACGAACCAAAAATCCTTGAAGCGCTTGGGTGATGTGCGGTTGCGAACGATGGTTCCGAGTTCCGAGAAGAGGCAGAGAGGCTTCGAATGTCGGTAGCGGTAGATTAAGAAAAGTACAGGTGATTTTCTAACGTGTATAGTGATAAAAATGTAAGTGCTTATTTAAATCAATTACTATATTTCAACTACTTTATATAATATTTAACTTGTTGATGGCTCACTATTTCAGATTTGAATTTCTTGCCGGTATTTTTTGTATTTGCCATGGTTTGTTCTGTCTTAAAAAATGCCGGCATTCCAATAACGAGCTGATTTGATTTTATGACTTATTTACTATTTAAATCAGTAAAAAATAGCATACTTTTAATATTTTAATTTAAATATTCTTGAAGTTCATTGTTATTTTGTAGTTATACCAAGGAAAATTTGCTCTAATTAATACCTATTTGACCATGAAATTATTTTCTAGTCATTTTTAAGTTCGGCAAGGGAAAAAGTAAGATTATATTAGTATAATTATGTGTTTTTTTTTAACATCAGATAATCACAGCATTGGTAGATCTAAGTTAAAAGTGTTGATTGATTGATACTAGCATTTTCACCTGCGGCTGGGACATCAGGATCGGTGTTTGGTAACTTACCTTATTCTGTCCCCAGATTATACATCTCATAGGTGGGTAGTAAAGCTATACAGCTTCCCCATTACCTTTTGACTTATGAACCCTTCTTCAGTTTTGCATTGAGTGTGTTTGAACCTTGTCATGCTCAATTTTTGCTATCTGATAAATTGTCTCAAAATATATATTTTTTATTTTTGCTTTGCAGTATTAGATATCTTTTATACCTACAATGTATTGGATATTATTTCATATATTTTCCTGTGTTTAATTAAATCATCAAGTAATTAAATGTGTGTGTGTGTTTTTTTTTAATATACTTAATTTGTCATTTGTACCAAAATTGACGTTTTATTGTATTTATTTTAACTTTGGGGTTTTCTTGCTGGTTCTTTCCCCTCATATGATAAATTAATTATTTTACTGCACCGAACCAGTCACTGTATTTAATCTTTATAAAAACATTTTATATACGTATAAATTTTTATTTTCTTATTCTTTCATCTATAATCGTTTCAATAAAGATTAGATATAAATAAATAGATATTTTGCTATTACCCTTTGTCACTCCCTAATTAACACGTAAGTAGCCAATAGATAACGAATATTTATGTCGGTCACTCGTGGTGTCCTAATCACTTCATAGTCGATCACGCCGCCATTTTATTTTTCATACTTTAATAAGAGAGATATTGGTTAAATTGTATCTCCTTATTTCAGTGGGTTACATTACAACCCTAGATTTTATAATTATAAAGATATTTTTCTATGATCACTATCGAAAGTTGGCTTTTCTTGCGCCTTGAAAGATAACTGCAAAGTTGATGTTTTCTGCAAGCTGTCGTAAGTAGACATTAGAGAGTTAAAGCAACGCTAGATACGTATGCGTATCTCTCTGACGTAAACGTGGAAATTGACGATACGTTAAACGAGCAATCTGGAAGAAAACAATAGTTAAAGCAAAAGCACTGACGTAAACGTATCTACAACTTTATAACCTTAGGTAATTTTTGAGAAAAGTAGATAGTTATATTGAGTAGATTATGAATTTAACGGCTTTAAATGATGGAAGATTTAGATGATGCTGTATATATTACAAATTCAACATAAAGAAAATTTGGAAAATAGTGATGTTTTATATGGGAGATTCAATTTTAATAATCGACATAATTAGGCTTGCTAGAGCTCTTGGCATGCCAGATATAATTATAACAAATGATCGAGTATCAATGTCCGGTAATTTTTATTAATTCTTTTTTTTTCAATAGGAATAAATGTGATGTGTATTATGGCTCAAAATTTAAAAACAACAATATAAAGTTACAATATGTCATTAGTTTTATTAAATCGTGTGCGATCGGATGCTCCCGAAGCATTTGCTCGGCTCGATACGAATGCGTATTAGGCGTACGTAAGAACACGTACGTTTACGTAAGACGTAAATAGATACGTGGGTAAAATAGCTATTGCGCATGCGTAGCTGTCATTAGATACGTTTACGTATACGTTTCTGGCATTGCTTTAACTCTCTATTATTGGCACTCTTAAGCGTAAATAATTTTAGCGATGGTATAATTTTAAATTTTCCAGTATTTTCCCTAAATAATTAAATCACAAATGATTGCCGACATATAAGTAATAAAATTAAATAGTATGTAACTTGAATACATAGTAATAGATAGGCAATGCAGCTTACAAACAACTTAGAAATCTAGTAGGTTGAAAGTAAGCAGTTAGGGTATTATGATTGAAATTTTGATAATTTAGTGTGCTCCGTAATTTTGATAATTTAGTGTGCTCCACAATTAATTATTTATTTTTTATTTTGGTGTGATTGTAGAAAAATCTTGTGTGTAAGTCGAAGAAAGTCCTTTAGAGGGCTCGACTGAATGCATCGCTCTGCTAACGCGTCGTGCGGCAACTTTCTGCCTCAACTGCTCAAGTGCTACTTTCTGTCCTTTATACATAAATATCCATTTCATTTAATAAAAAACTTGGCCGATTTTCCAAAAAGGTAATAACAATAATAATAGGGTATTTTAGATGATTTTTGGAAAATACAATATATATTATTAAATTGTATAACAAGATATGAATTTTTAAAGCTAAATAAAAAATACAAATTTTTCCTAAAAATATTTTTAATAAATAATATAATTCATTTTTTTTAAATAATAGCCTATTTTAAATTAAAGAGGCCCCTAAATTTTCAAATAATAAATAGTTTCGCCCTCTCCTCACTATCGTACTCTGTGAAAATAAATATGAGATTTCTCTAACAAATAACTAATTTATTATCTAAACACTTAATGATAAAAAACTGCAATGGAACGAAGGTTAAGGGTCATAAACTAATATAAAATTTAGGAAATATACTTCACAAAATTATAGTTATATGAGGTTTATAGGGGAAATAAGAAAAGTATTAGTTATATGCAAAACCAGGTACCTAATTGTAAAGAATTTACGACAAATTTCTAGTAATTGCATGGAATTTTGGGAAAATTCAATAAATTCGTTTCAAAAGTTTGCAGAGACTTAATTAGATATTGAACAGTAGCGTAAATTTGGATGAAATTTGTATAGCGCTGAAGAAATTTAAATAATTTCTTTTCCATTAAAATAGTTTTGTTTCTACCTTGATATTTAGTTTAAGTCTTATTAATAAATGAATAAAAGTGATACTTCATAAATTTTAATCAATTCGGACATTCTTTTTAACAGTACCAGTAGTAGCAGCTGTACCGATACCACCAGCAGCAGCAGCAGCAGCAGCAGCAGCAGCAGTGTCAGTATCAAAATCAACAGTATCAGTACCTACAGCAGTTGCAGTAGTAACGACAGCTCCAGCAACAGCAACATCTGTACTTGAATTTAGGAGTAAATTATAAGTAAGTGTTTATTTCAATCAAATTCATTTTCCATAAATCAGTCAAAACTGTATTAATTGTCGTGTAAATTATGGTATTTCAGGTGGTGTTGTAATATGTGATTTTATGTTGATAACATCTGAGTCTAGCTGTGCAAGTGATGACTTTGTAGCTTCACGTAGTAACATTAAGTTCTTTTCATTAGTTTATGATATCTGATTGACGTTTTGTAATGTTTTTGACAGTAATTTTAACTCAGATTCATTTCTTGTTAAGATTGTATTATCGTCTTGTAAAGTTTTCTGCAATTCTTTTAAATAATTTTCATTGGTTTTTGTTATCTGGTTAATGCTTTGTAATTTTTTTTGTAATATATCGACATCTTCCTTTACATCATCAATTAATGATGGAACTGCAGTTCTCGCAATTTGATCATTAAGTTGTTAAATTTTTTTCTGTGTTAAACCAGTAATATCGGTAATTTTAAGTAAACATTCATCATGTAATTTTGTTAAATCTTCATTGTAAAATCGTAATTCAGCTTGAATTTGAGTAATATCGGTACGTAGAGGTGGCAAATTTTGATTCATCTTCATTAAACCTGTATTAAGTGATTGTATTTTAATATTAAATTCGTTGTTTGTTTTAATTGTATCATCGACATAATTTTTGATTGCCGTATGTTTACCAGCTGTGGGTGGATTTCTCAATGTAAATATTTCAAGGTCTTTTGTTTTACTGCTGATAACGCTCACAATATCATTTAACTTGCTGATATTTGTATTTAGCGTAGAATTTTTCACATCAAAAACATTTTTAAATATGCTTTCCAACTGCATTATATTAATTTTAGGCGAAGAGGATCTGCTTGGACCATGACCAAACTTATTAAGACTCATGATGAAAATGCTGATAAATTGGACTCTAATATATAATATCTGCTTCTCGAAGTTCACTGATTACGCTCGCGATTTCGTTATCATGTGACGTATTTCCGGCATTTTTTGATGCTATTAACAGCTTCAGTCTCTCTACAAGTTAATTTAGATCGCACCATTCATCTCTATCCTCTTCATAGAAAGACACGATTGTAGTATTTCTCAACATTTGTTTATTGTTTCGTCTTTCTTTTCGTCTTTGTTTGATAGCATTCTTTTTAATTTTATTAAAACTTTTAGCTTTCGTCTTAATATATATGGTGTCCTCTTCATAGAAAGGTACGTGTCTAGTATTTTTCAACATTTGTATATTGTTTTATCTTTCTTCTCGTCTTTGATTAACAGCATTCTTTTAAATTTTATTATAACTTTTAGCTTTTGTCTTGTTTTTAAATAGAGATCTAATAATAGTGCTAAATTTTAATTTGTCAGCTTGATGTCACAGATGACCTCTTGAATCACGATGAGCGAGAGTTATATCCAAAATTTGTTTGTAAATTTGATGATCCTTTGAAGTAAAATTTGTGGGTTTTTAGAAAATAATAATTCGTATAAACCAGGAGTAGCATTAAACTTGTTATCACCTAGAACTATATTATGTTTGTTAAATTCTAGTTCCTTAGTACCCATTAACCATTTATTGTCCGTATAAACGGGTCTATAACAGTTATCATAATAGATATATTTTTCAGCGTATTCGAGGTATTCGTTTTTCTCTGGCTTGTTTACTTCAGCTATTTCTTTCAAAGGTTCTATTACAGGATTAAAAAAGTTCAATTCTTATTTATCAGCTTCTATTTTCTTCAAGGCGTTATACTTTTTTGAATTCGCATACATTGACATCTTGATAATATCTGAAGTATTTTTGATGTGATACATCTATTATAGGTCTTCATCTGTCTTCATCTATCTACAGGTATCTTCAGGTGTCTTTATAGGTGTTCTAGAATTATTAAGAGGTCTTCAGAGGCCTATAGAAAGGTCTCCTGAGATGTTTAGATATATGTTGGTTATTATTCATGATAAATATTTATATAATAGGTTTAGTTTGATTTCATGTTGAGTTGTCATTGCGTATAAATTATATATTAACATACATGAATTATAAAAATACATTTCAACAAAAATACAATTCAACAGAATTTCAGAATCTTACTGGCGTAGAGATTTATCGATAAAAATTGTGTAATGAAGTTTAAGATAAATATGGATTATTTAGTTAATATTTATTGAATGAGATGTTTGGGATTTTTGAGCCGGTTGAAGATGAGGTAAATGTTGTTTATCATTTTCCCACCTTAATAATAATAATAATAGAGGGGTGGGTGACTCAGTGGTAGAGTCTCTGCCTGTGGATTCAAGGGTCCCAGGTTCGAATCCCACCGTTGACCGGAATTTTTTCATTTAATTTAATTATTTAAAATTAATTCTGATGCCTTGGTAGGATTCCCCACTCGACCATTCACTGTTGGGTTCTAATTAACAGTGCTGTTCCTAAAGTGGCGCTGGGAAACAGTAACAAAGCCTACACAGAACACGAAGCGAAATAACCTTAGCAGTTGAAGCCGATGACACACAAAAAAAATAATAATAATAATAATGATAATAAAGGTCTATATTTTTTCTACATCCATAATAACAAACATACAGTAATTAAACAATTAATTGAGATAGGGTGTACGAAAAAAAGCCGAAGATCAGGTGGATGTGTCATGTGTTTAAAAAAAATAACCTCTGTTTTTCATCTTAAGCAGTAGTCTTTATCTCATATTCTCATACATGAATATCAAGATTATGTTGTAGATGGTAACAAAGAGAAGATGCGTTGTAATTTTATTTATTAAATATTTTTGCTACATTTTGATAAATATTTTCATGAACTTGTTTGAGGGGCTTCATTAAAATAAGCGGTTGATTTATTCTTCTCAAATGCATTATAAACTTCAATCATTTTTACGTCTTCAGCAGTCCTCACCTCATATTCTCTTTTATGAGTAACGTCAAGGGTATTTGGTAGATAATATCGAGTAATGGCTACTGTAGGATTATAGATCATATTATTATGCTCAAGCCTAAAATGTGGTGCAATTTTAGCACCATTTGCGTAAAGTTTAGTACCCACTTGCACTTTTGCTGTTATTATATATTTCTTAGCCACTTCGTAAAATATCAAACTTTCAGCTAAACATACGCCACAATAGGTTGCTCGAATAAATTCTTGTTTGATACAACATTTAATTAGGTTAAGTCGAATATATTCTCGCATAGGGTTAGTAATGTTAAAAAAATACGTCTATTCAGTATGAGTGCTAAATAAAGTATGATGAAATTTTGAATCTCCTAATGATTTTAAGCTTGAGTGACCCACGTGACTGAACCACGTGATATTTTTTCAATATTTAGTGTTTGTATGTTTCCTCGAATAAACAATAAATTTGTATAATTAGTTGTTAAATATTTATCATATATTAATTATTATTTTCATGAACTTTATCTTTAACAAAAAGCATCAAAATTGCCGATTTTGGGTAAAAATGTACCATTTTTACATGGTTTCTTATGGGGGAGAACGAGCAAATTTGATTCATTCAGGGGCCTTTTTGAAACAATTAACTCAGTTCAGTCTTCCGCCCGACCAAAAGTTTACCTTATATCTTTCACAGTCGACTTTTGTCATTCTGGTCCAGATCGCTGAAGAATTAGCTTATATCTAATTTTACTGATCAACGTTTAGTGACGTATTTTTTTGATTGTAAGTATACATTTTTATCATATCTTTAACAAAATTGATGATTTGTATTAAAATGTTACATATGTTACTTAATAGGTATATTTAAATACCTTTATCTATAAATAAAAAAGTATTACTGATAACTAGATGGGTATAATTATTTAGCTCGTTAAGTTAGTAGCAATTCCCGTTCATCTAAGTATTTTATACCTCACACAGCTAACTTTATTCATTCTATATCAGTTCCTTAAGCAGTAAAGACGTGGCTGTATTAACCGTGTAATATATAGAAGAGGATTTTATATTTTTATTTCTATATAAATTTTATTATCCATAATTTAAGCTATTTTAAGACTCAATAGATATATTTACATCTGTTTTAAATAGCCATTCTTTAGTTTTTTTTTTGAAGATTAAAAAAGTATTACTGTTCAGTTTATTAAAACTTGGGTGGTTTATTATCTTATCTTATTTTATTTTTTTCTATTGCAGAACGATGGCACTCTTCGCCGATTTAGTCCGATATATTGCAAGTTATCTGGGGTTGTTAACCCCAAGTTACGATGAGGCGGTAGCTCGGGAGGGGCTTCGGGAATGCCAAAAGGGTATTAAGAGGATTAGGTGGGCATTGAAGAATTCTAAGATGATAGGCGAGAAACAGCATTTGGAAGCATCCTTAAGAAATATTATAACCTATCGAAACCAGATAAAAGCAGCACAAAAGAAGGGAGCAGGGCTTGATCGAAATCGGAATACTGCTTGCAACAGAGTACACTGGGATGACTCCGATACGGCGTTCAAAAGTCGTATCCGCACCGGGATCATATCCAATTTGAAACACAAAGACCCCAAGGCTTTTCTAGTTGACTGCAAGGCCTTGTTTAAGAGAAGAATCCAGAACGCGCTAAGGAAGGATGAATCTGTCAAGGTTAACACAACCTTCACAGGAGAGTTTGAGATGGTCAAGGGGGATAGTGTGCAGACTGAGCACAAGTACTTTACCACATCAAATTCTGCTGTATATCGGGATACCAATCTTGATGTATGGTTCGATGAAAAAGTTATTTGCCCTATCATGACCGAACTTGATGAATTTCAGGAGCGTGATTCTGGTTGGGCGTTGAAGAGGGTCATGAACTTGGGTGTGAATATAAACAAGTTTACGCCGCAATTGGGATCCTCATATGTCGAATTACCATCTCAAATTATGAAAAAACATGCTTGTGTTAATGTTAAGAATGATGACCAGGCATGTTTTGCATGGGCAGTTAACTCTGCTTTACATCCTGTAACTAAAGACCCTCAACGATTGTATAAATACCCTCACTACTCGTCCATCCTTAAGCTCAAAGGGATCCAGTTCCCGATGACTATCAAGCAGATCCCCAACTTTGAGCACCAGAATGAGATTTCAATAAACGTTTACATCCTACAAAAAGAGAAAAAGGTATTTACCACATTACCAACTTACCTCACTAAGAATAAACAAGATCGTCATGTTAACCTTTTGCTAATTCAAGATCGTTATGATGATGTTCCTACGACATATCATTATGTGTGGATAAAAAGCCTATCCAGACTACTATCGAAACAGCTCAGCAAAGAAGATGGTCGGAAGTTCTTTTGCGATCGATGCCTCCACTATTGCCGTTCTGAGGATAAGCTTAATAAGCATTTTGAGGACTGTCAAAAATTAAATGATACTGCGATAAAGATGCCCGAGTTAGGAAAAAACATTCTCAAATTTAAAAATTTTAAAAATAAAGAAATGGCCCCTTTCATTGTGTATGCCGATCTAGAGAGCGTCCTAAGACCCACCGACGACTCCAAGAAATCTCAGCAACACGTACCGGCTGCTGTCGGTTATTATTTAAAGTGTAGCTATGATGATACATTATCATTTTACAAGGCACATCGGGGCGAGGACAGCATGCAATGGTTCGCAGATGAAATGGCTCAACTTGCGGAAGATATGGCTACTGTGTTTTGGAGTCCTCATGATATTAATATGACTTGGTTGCAGAAAGTTGAGTACAGAAGAGCTACACACTGCCATATATGTGAGCAACCGTTTACTACAGATGATAAGAAGGTTAGAGATCACAATCATCTCCTCCCTAACAATAATTTTAGGGGTGCTGCACATGAAGGGTGTAACGTTAATTATCAGGATAGTCATATAGTCCCCGTTCTCTTCCATAATTTGAGTGGTTATGATGCCCATTTTATAGTGACAGACATTGCTACGAAGATGCAGGGGACCATCGATCTACTACCGATCACTAAGGAAAAGTATATTTCCTTTACCAAACACGTTGATAAATATCCTATTCAGTTCCGGTTCATCGATAGTTTCCGCTTCATGGCTTCTTCTCTAGATAAGCTAGCATCTTACTTACCTACGTATCCAAATTTAAAGTCACAGTATTCCGAGTTACCCGCGGAACAATTTAAATTGCTTACGAAGAAGGGTGTAATGCCATATGATTACATCGACTCTTTCAAGCGATTTGATGAGGCATGTTTACCATCGATCGAATCATTCTACAACAAGTTGGAAGATAAGCCCTGTCCCCGCCGTCTTTATCAACGAGCACATAACGTATGGAGCAAATTTAATTGCCAAGACTTAGGAGATTATGTCGATTTGTATATGAAGACTGATATTCTTTTACTATCAGATATATTCGAGGAGTTTCGTTCTAGCTGCCATAAAACATATGGTCTTGACCCTGCCCACTATTACACTCTCCCTGGATTTACGTGGGACGCTATGTTAAAGCATACTAGGCAGGAGCTGGAGCTATTAACTGATGTTGACATGTTTCTGTTTGTTGAGCGAGGAATCCGAGGAGGTCTCAGTCAAGTCTGCTCGAAAAGACGAGCTCACGCCAACAATAAGTATCTTCCAAACTATAACTCGACCAAGCCCTCCAAATTTCTGATGTACTATGATGTTAATAACCAATATGGTTGGGCGATGTCCCAATATCTACCATACGGAGGTTTCGAATGGGTAGATACCAACATCGACGTTCTGTCCATTTGTGACGATGCAGCAGAGGGGTACATGCTGGAAGTCGACCTCGAGTACCCTCAACATCTTCATGATCAACATAAAGATATTCCATTTTGTCCAGAGCATATAAATCCCCAGACTGGTAAGCCCTCGAAAACTGTTAAGGAGCTTACCAAGTTGATGGCTACCCTTCACCCAAAGACGAAGTATGTCATCCACTATCGCGCTTTAAAGCAAGCTTTATCTCACGGTCTGATACTTACCAAGATACATCGAGCATTGAGGTTCAAGCAGGCTCCTTGGTTAAAATCCTACATCGACCTTAACACTGAACTGCGCAAGAAGGCCGCGAATGAGTTTGAAAAGAACCTATTTAAACTAATGAATAATGCTGTTTTTGGTGAGTCTAACTTTTTCAACTATAAATATTATCTAATCTTAATCTTATTTTTTAAAACTTATCTAATCTTAATCTATTGTTGCAGGTAAAACGATGGAAAATGTCCGTAAAAGGGTTAACATCCGGCTTCTAACCGAATGGAGTGGGCGGTATGGAGCAGAGGCGATGATATCGAAACCTGAATTTAAAAATTGCACCATCTTCAATGAGAATCTAGTAGCTGTTGAACTTCGGAAACTACAGATCTGGCTCAACAAACCTATCTACGTTGGCCAGTCTATCCTAGATCTTGCAAAGATGACGATTTACAACTTTCACTACAGCTACATGGTATCAACGTTCGAGGATTGCTCTGTATTATACACTGACACTGATTCCCTTATCTACGAGCTTTATCAAGATCCTTATATTATCATGAAGCGGGACTGTCACCAATACTTTGATACCTCAGACTGCCCAGCTGAAAACATATATGACATCCCTCAAGTCAATAAGAAGGTGCTCGGAATGATGAAGGATGAAAATAATGGTATTCCAATGACGAATTATGTGGGTCTCCGATCTAAACTCTACGCTACAAAAGTTATGGTAACGGATGATAATGTGATTAAAATGAGGAAGGATCTTGAGGAGAAGGACTATGAGGAGGATGAAATTGTAGATATTTTGAGAAATATTGGTGTGACAAAGAAGGCAAAAGGGGTTAAATCTTCCGTTGTAAAGACGGTTATTACATTTGATGATTACATCGAATGCCTCGATAGTTGTAAGTTAATGACTGTTTCTCAAAATCTGATACGATCGGACAAACATATAGTCCATTCCATTACACAGACGAAAGTGGCTCTTTCTCCCAATGATGACAAGCGGTACCTGGTTCATGGATCAGATGATACATTGCCGTGGGGGCACTATTCAATCGTAAATGGTGCTAATATGGATGTTGATTCTACCTATTTATCTTGAATGCTTTATCCTCAATAAAATATTTATGAAAATGTAACAAAAATATTAAATAAATAAAATTTCAACGTATCTTCTCTTTTTTTTTACCATCTACTACATAATCTTGATATTATTCAAGTATAAGAATATGAGTTAAAGACTACTGCTAATGATGAAAAGCAGAGGTTATTTTTTTGAAACATATGACACATCCACCTGATCTTCAGTTTTTTTTTTCGCACACCCTATCTTAGTTAATTGTTTAATTACTATATTTTTGTTAATATAGATGTAGAAAAAAAATCCTAAACATCTCATTAAAAACTAAATAATCCAAATTTATCTTTAACTTCATTACATTACAATTTTTATCGATAAATCTCTACGCCAGTAAGATTTAGAAATTTTGTTGAATATGCAATTTATACGCAATGAAAGCTCAACATGAAATCAAACTAAATCTATTATATAAATATCCATCATGATTAATAACTAACATATATCTGAAGACATCAGAAGACCTTTCTGAAGGCCTCTAAAGACCTATTAAGACACCTGAAGATACATATAGATAGTTAAAGACCTATAATAGATGTATCACCAAAAATACTTTAGATATTATCAAGATGTCAATGTAAGCATTACGCGTATCATTCGAAAAAAGTACAACGCCTTGAATAAAATGGAAGCTGATATGAAAGATTTATTAATCCTGTAATAGAACCTTTGAAAGAAATAGCTGAAGTAGACGAGCCAGAGAAAAACCAATACCTCGAATACGCTGAAAAATGTATCTATTATGATAATTGTTACAGACTCGTTTATACGGACAATAAATGGTTAATGGGTACTAAGGAACTAGAATTTAACGATTTCTACGAATTATTATTTTCTAAAAAACCCATAAATTTTACTTCAAAGGAACATAAAATTTACAAACACATTTTGGATATAACTCGCGCTCATCGTGATTCGAGAGGTTATCTGAGGCATCAAACTGACAAATTAAAAATTTAGCACTATTACTAGATCATAGTTATAATAAAATTTAAAAGAATGCTGTTAATCAAAGACGAGAAGAAAGATAAAACAATATACAATTGTTGAAAAATACTAGACACGTACCTTTCTATGAAGGGGACACCATATATAATAAGACGAAAGCTAAAAGTTTTAATGAAATTAAAACGAATGCTAACAAACAAAGACGGGAAGGAAGACAAAACAATAAACAAATGTTGAGAAATACTAGAATCGTACCGGTCTATAAAGAGTATAGTGATGAATGACGCGATCCAAATTAGCTTGTAGAGAGACTGAAGCTGTTAATAGCATCTAAAAATGCAGAAAATACGTCACATGATAACGAAACGAACTTCGAGAAGCAGAAATTATATATTAGAGTACAATTTATCGGCATTTTCATCATGAGTCTTGATAAGTTTGGTCATGGTCCAAGCAGATCCTCTTCACCTAAGATGAATATAATGCAGTTGAAAAGCAGATTTAAAAATGTTTTTAATGCGAAAAATTCTACGCTGAATACAAATATCAGCAAACTGGTAAACATATGGCAACCAAAAATTATGTCGATGATACAATTAAAACAAACTACGAATTTAGTATTAAAATACTATCACTTAATGTAGGTTTGATGAAACTGAATTAAAATTTGCCACCTCTACGTACCGATATAAATCGAATCCAAGCTGAAATACGACTTTACAAGGAAGATTTAACAAAATTACATGACGAATGTTTACTTAAAATTACCGATATTACAGATTTAACACAGAAAGAAAATTGAGAAAATTGAACAAGTTAATAATCAAATTGCGAGAACTGCAGTTCCATCATCAATTGATGCTGTAAAGAAAGATGTCGATATATTACAAAAAATTTACAAAGCATTAACCAGGTAACAAAAACCAATGAAAATGCTTTAAAAGAATTGCAGAAAACTTTACAAGACGATAATATAATTTTAACAAGAAATGAATGTGAATTAAAATTACTGTCGAAAACATTACACAAAACGTTAACCAGATATCAAAAACTAATGTAAAGAACTTAATGCTACTACGTGAAGCTACAAAGACATCACTTACAAAACTAGACTTAGATGTAACCGACATAAAATCACATATTAAAAAATCATCTGAAATACCATAATTTGCACCAGTCACCATATCAAACTTATTAAACTATAGTAGACGTACAATTATTACAGTTTTGGAAAATGGATTAGATTTAAATACACTCTAATGCGCATTAAAATGAAATGATCTGAAATTAATATTAATAATAAAATAAATTGAGTATACTCGCTGGTTTTAATACAATCCCGCTAATATTGTTTCAAAGTATATTTCGCCTATAACACCCTTATATATGTAACATTTTTAGCATTAAATTTCCTAATTTTCCGACTACTTTATACCCCATTACTTTCGTTCCATTTAATTTTTTATCAAGAGGAGTAAGGAATGTAAACACTTACTTACAATTTACTTCTAAACTCAAGTATAGAAGTTGCTGGTGCTGCCGTTACTACTGCTACTGCTGTAGCTACTGATACTGTTGATTTTGATACTGACACTGCTGCTTCTGCTGCTGGTGTTAGAATGTTAGAATTCATTAAAATGTATGAAGTATCGCTTTTATTCATTTATTAATAAGACTTAAACTAAATATCAAGGTATAAACAAAACTATTTTAATGGAAAAGAAATTATTTAAATTTCTTCAGCGCTATACAAATTTCATCAAAATTTACGCGACTGTTTAATATCTAATTAAGTCTCTGCAAATTTTTGAAACGAATTTATTGAATTTTCTCAAAATTCCATGCAATTACTAG